TGCCACTTTTGCTGGGAAGAGGATTGCATTTTACTCTTCCAAATGAGGCAAACCATTCTCTGAACATACTAGTAGAATTAATGAGCTCATCTGAAAACTTGCTTGAAGAGGTAAGGAATAGTAATGAACTGGAGGTGATTGCTCCTTTTGGCGAGATAATTCCGCCAAAGAAAGCTTGTCCTCTCAGTAGAGTTTTTAGATGTCTGTGTGGTGATAATAATAAATAAATGCCAGTTCATTTAAGTGGCGCCTGCGATTGGCTCCGACGGTCAGGAGATAGGAAAGAGCACATCAAGGACTGGCGATAGAAGGACTGATTGGATTCGAATGTTTGCTGCTAGACGCAAAATAGAGAAGCATCGAAGTGGCGTATGAGCACAATGAATCATCCCCACTCTTGCCCAATCACTCACGAAAACATATTCTCAGGATGGCAAAACCATTATTCACAGAGTTTCGAAAGCCACTTTGTCTTCATAAGACTTCAACTACTTGGTCGATCCTGTCGGCCGACTGACATCCAAAATAAATTAATTACAGCATACTAGCAGATGGTGGCCCATTTCCCACGCAGTTTCACCTCATAAACACCCAGTCGCCATGACATCCGCCAACCCACTACCGTCTCATGCCTATTCCCGCAAACCAGCTCGACCATGACCACCTGAACGCCGCTGGTTTGTCTGTCCTGCTCATCGTCTGTACCAGGCCCTGATAGCAAAGAAACGTATTTCAGAGGTTGCTAATCAAAAAAAGGCGAGCTCGAAACTGCAGTCCATTTTGGAGGACTATACAAATCGGGAAGCGACGCCACGTGAAATTGAATGGAAATGTCAGGCCTGTTCTTATCACTGTGTGCAAATTCAATGACTTCCACATCAATTTACACGAAACAGCGCGATACAGCTCTTGTACCAGATCTACTGGTAGTCTCGAAAACCCACTTGTAAACTGAAGGTGTCATCAGATTCCTGTGAAAATGTGCCAACATTCCGTGTGACATATTAAAAACACAGAGAATCATTGCCACAGCCATTTTCGAGCGAGCAAGTCATGAAGACTCACCGACGAATCTATACGCACTGCACATGTACCACATATCTATGCTTTCTGATGAGACGTAAGAAGATCTGGCTGGGACAAGTGATACGCCACTCGAGAAGCGTTGTGTCTGTGCATCAATGCCTATCTCTACGTGGGCAGCCAGCAGTGGTAGCACGAGGTGATGAGAAGAGAGCATAAATACTCACCAGCGCTCCTTACATTCAACAGATTGTCGCAAACACGATAACTCTGAAGTCACTCAATCTCCTCTCCAGTTCCTGCTGAACAGACTAGGCAGGGTCTTTGTGTTGAGCCACTTTTTGTTGAATGGATGCACCAAGGCGCATTAAAATGTAACTTACGCTTGGATTCAACTCGCTAATAATATCAGTCTTCGTCTGGACTATGTACCAGTTCTTGAATAGCCTTGCCAACTAACAACTTAGTAGACATTGATGGTACATCGAGGCATAGACTAACGGTTTCCTCTCCAATACTTTGCGGAACGACCAATGGAGCAAATTCATATCATCTCTTCAGCTACCTTCCGCAATTGCCCGAACACGAATCGTGACACCGTGTCCACCGCACTATCTTCAATCTTAATAGCAGGTCTTGGGGGTGCAATTTGCTCGTGTTTCTTTCGAGACCTGTGGCCGCCCTATCGCCCACTCACCATTTTCCCCATTCTTGTGCAATCTGGAAGTGATTTGCCAAATATCAGCATGAGAATGTCAGTGGGATCGCTTGCTAAAACTTCGTAGATATGAAGAATGAGGAGCATTCAACAAACCGCATGAGGTAGCATTGACGTTTCGTATGAATGTGAGTGATGAAGAGATTCACAGCTAATGACAACTGATTCCGGTTCTACTGCCGCGATTAGCATTTACCACGATCTTCCAGCTGACGCAATCTCTCACACATCCTCTATGGTTCAGGGTTAAAATGGGCTGACATTTCGTATATCATAGCATGAACACGACCAGAGCTGCAACCGATTCTTGCAATTTCCACGTCACCAGTAAGCCAAGAGGACTGACGGGCACTCGCTACG